AAGTTATGTGCAGTATAGTTTTAGAGTTAAGTGTATTTTTGGTGATCTGGATGTATGCCGTATGCTGCCCATGATGATATTTGGAGTCATAAGATAAGTGTTTATAGGTACAGTTTTCTATACAGTTGGTTAAGTGCTTCAAGAAATCAATCACTCTGCAGTGTAGTGCAGCTACTGGATTGGTGAGTACCTGTATAGTATTTTATACTTTATTAATTTTATTGTATTCTAATTCTTTGAACATTGGTATTGCATTGGTAAAGTATAAATTTCTGTTAATCAGAATATTGAGCTAACCAACACACACCCCATTCTTCCAACGTGCCAGATAACAGAGCTTTTACTGTAGTACTAATATAAAAGAAAGTGGAGGGAGAAAACAATGAAAGAAGAAGATGAAAGAAAGAAAAACGTTAATAAAGAAATGAAAATAAGGGAAAGAAAAGCCCCAAACCACAGAGGCCATCAGTGTCGGAGCCAGGGACAAAACTCAAAGCTCAAACCATATGAATAATAATGTATTTAAGAAAGTGAAAACTTTGATTCAATATAGGCTGATAACATAGTAAATGAAGCCATACAAGTACAGTCACGGTGTAGTGGATCTACACAGGGGATTAGATATTACCTGTAGAACAATAGTATAGCCAAGGTTCCAATATTCTATTGTATTCTAATAGATTCTTGTATTGTGCACCTCATTGAAGTATCTGAGCATCCCTTAAGAAAAAACAATTCTACAGCAGTTACAATTTCTAATTGTATAAAACCTGTGGCTGCTCAAAAATATAGTAACAAAATAGATTACCACGTTTTCTTAGTATGTCATGTATGGATAATAAACAAAAATTGCCTAACTGGATAGATGAAAATATAGCTAACTTTAAATGGCCAACACCTTCATCATTTTATTTGTACACCCAAAGTTTATATAACATACTAGGAGTTTTTTTCAAGTGCAAAATTGGACCCAGCAGAGGCTGGTTTTGCTAAGCTTACTGAGTTCTTATTGTCTGCATTTTCATTGTCCAGGTTCCTGACAGGAAGAAATTTGAGCTAATTAGAGCCCAATATTGCACGGTAGCTTTCCTACAACTGTTTTTTAAAAGCTCCAAGGAGTTTTAAACTATCTCACTCTTTCATAGGGCAGAGGGGATTGAGGGAACCAGTCAGCAAAGAACTACAGTACTTGTTCTAAGCTAGTTTGCTTGTAGTGAGATAACAGTGATGATTTTATGACTAGATTAAAGAAGACAAAATAAATGTAGGTAAATAGGAAGGTGGTGGAGTCTTCTCTGACATATTCTCTTATATATAAATAGGACATCAATTGCTCCACAAGATAATTTATGTTGAAGAGAGATGGAGATGATGAGAACGTAGTTAGGGAGTTTGGGGATACAGTCAATTTTAAAAAAATCTCACTGATTTTTGTAAATGATGATTACTATTACAAATAAACCCAGAGAGTAGAGAGACATTTTTTGTTATGTTTTATTTTGTTTAATCTGTGGTTTTGATGCCATTGTATGTGTGTCTTCCACTCACCAAGGCTACGTCTAGACTGGCATGATTTTCCGGAAATGCTTTTAACGGAAAAGTTATCCGTTAAAAGCATTTTCGGAACAGAGCGTCTAGATTGGCATGGACGCTATTCTGCAAAAGCACTTTTTGCGGAAAAGCATCCGTGCCAATCTAGACGCGCTTTTTTGCAAAAAAGCCCCGATTGCCATTTTCGCGACTGGGGCTTTTTTGCGGAAAACAAATCTGGGCTGTCTACACTGGCCCTTTTGCGCAAAAGTTTTGCACAAAAGGACTTTTGTCCGAACTGGAGCAGCATAGTATTTCCACAAGAACACTGACAATCTTACATGAGATCGTCAGTGCTTTTGCAGAAATTCAAGCGGCCACTGTAGACAGCTGGCAAGTTTTTTCAGAAAAGTGGCTGCTTTTCCGGAAAAACTGGCGAGTCTAGACACAGCCCTCGGGTACACCTACACTGCGAAGGGAATGAGTTTATTCTTCCACTTATTTTTGCAGAAGAGCAAATGTGCTCTTTTGGGGGGCCCTGTATACCTCTTTCCATGAGGAGGTTTCAACTATATTTATCCCCAGCAGTATTCCATTGACCTCAGTGGAGTTACACTGGCAATTAATTTGAGCCCAGTACGTTTTCATATAATTGTATGGACTCATATTGTTAGACAGTTCAGTTTACAGGCAGTCCCCGGGTTACGTACAAGATAGGGACTGTAGGTTTGTTCTTAAGTTGAATTTGTATGTAAGTCGGAACTGGTACATATTGTAGGGGAAACTCTAGCCAAAATTTCTCCAGACCTCAGTTTTATTCTCCCACACCTCACTTCCCTCAGTCCTTTATTCTCAAGCTAAGGTGTCTGCTGAGAAAAGCCGCTCCGCGTCTCCCTGGTCTGCTGCCTGTAATGTAGATTGTGATGTAATGTCAAGTGTGTCCAGTATTTTCGCTGAAACCCTCTGGCAACCCTACCAAGATATGAGGGAGAAAAAGCTTTTACTGTATTAAAATAAAAAAGATGATTGTACAACTACAAACATTGTCAGGGGGACTTGATTTTTGAGGAAGTGACCTTTTTCTGAGTTAGTGTTTGTATAGTGCCAAGCACAAATAAAGTCCCAATTCCAAATGGACTTTACACATTATAGTATTATATATACACACACCTAGATAATAATAGTGTCTGAAAACCAAGGTTACTCACCTGTAACCTGAGGTTTTTGTGAGGGACTTTCCACATTCACAGAGTATTCAAGGGTGTATCCTAGGCTGCACTCTTGGTGCATATGAAAAGATACAGAGACTTATCCAAAGAAGAACTATTTTTAACTTGCTCTTTGAGATTGTTTAGATTTCAAGTTAACTATGGCCCCCTAATACAAAAGGGAAAGGAAGAACCATGTATTTATTTCATTTTGTAAAAACAACACATTTTGGACATACATAACCTCTTTTGTCAGATATCCTAATGTTTTACAATAATTAATTCTAATACCACCTATCATAGGGTTGCCAGGTGTCCATGCCAATCTAGACGCTCTGTTCCGAAAATGCTTTTAACGGATAACTTTTCCGTTAAAAGCATTTCCGGAAAATCATGCCAGTCTAGACGTAGCCTTGGTGAGTGGAAGACACACATACAATGGCATCAAAACCACAGATTAAACAAAATAAAACATAACAAAAAATGTCTCTCTACTGACAAAATGTTAGGATTCATTGTTTAAAGCAGGGTTTGGGAATATACGGCCCAGGGGCTGGATGCGACCCCTGGCATGCCTGGATCCGGCCCTGAGGCTCAGGGCTTCTCCCTGGCATTGGGAAGGTTCCCCACCCCTGGTTTAAATACTTGGGATTGAAAGTCAGAACTCCTGGATTTTGTTCTTGGTTTTGTTACTGAATTGAAGATGGGTATATCACTCTGTACCTCATTTCCTTGTACGTAATGTAAATATAAACACTTTAGATAGGTAGGGTTACCAGGTAGACCCCCCCCAAAAAAACCAGACACACTTGATCGTGGGGGGGAAGGGGAGGGACTGGCCGGGAGGGCAGCGGGGCTGGCCGGGAGGAAGGGGGGTGGGAAGCAGAGCTGGGGGGGGGTCGAGGG